AGCCTACGAGGAGCTACGAAAAGGCATGCGGTTGAGCATCTGATCCAGAAGCCTCCTCCCAAAGAGTGGGCCAGCGTGCCTCGACCAGCTCCCAGTTTCGCCCCCTCCAGCGTCGAGGCCGCCAGACACCGGCCCAGGTGTGCTTTGAGAAGGCTCGGGGAAGCCGGCCCAGACTCTTTAGAACCCTCCTGCAGCAGTTTTTGTCCGCAGCGCGAGGGGGGTCTGGGCCGTGCCCGGGGGCCCCGCGGCCGCCTGGGGCCGTCCCGAGCCGCCCCCGCGGGCGCCCTCGGCGAGGGCGCAGCCTGCTGGAGCGCGCCCCCCGCGAGGCGGGACGAGGCCCCCCGCGAGGCGGGACGAGTGTTTCTCGATCATGTTGCCGGCTGCAGTCAAGCACAGATGTTCAGAGGTCCGCACAATTCTCTCGGCTGCAGTCGAGCACAGATTTCTCGCGGAGGTCCGCGCAGATCTCCTGGGTCGGCGTCGGAGCCCCCCCCCCCCTGGCGCGCGACAGCGCCGCCTCGGAGGGGGGGCCCAGCGTCGGCCCAACAAATCCGCCTCCCTCCTCCCCTGCTCCTCCTCCTCCTCCTCCTCCTCCTTCTCCTCCTCCTCCTCCTCCTCCTCCTCCTCCTCCTCCTCCTCCTCCTCCCCCTCCTCCTCCTCCTCCTCCTCCTCCTCCTCCTCCTCCTCCTCCTCCTCCTCCTCCCTCCTCCTCCTCCTCCTCCCTCCTCCTCCTCCTCCTCCTCCTCCTCCTCCTCCTCCTCCTCCTCCTCCTCCTCCTCCTCCTCCTCCTCCTCCTCCTCCTCCTCCTCCTCCTCCCCGTGCCAATGACCCCCCAGGCTTCTTGGTTCTCGATGTGGTCGGGGACGCACGGGGCAGCCTTTAAGGATCCCTGCTGGGGTCCGACGAGCACCCCGACCACGAGGGCCAGGGAGTGGGGGTCGGGGCGACAAAGGCTTAATTCGGCCAGCTCGTGCATGATTGGAGCCTGCCATGGCTCGAGGCGGAGCGTCAGTAAGCATACAGTGGTTGACTGGGGCCCGGGGACCCAAACCCATATTCCGATGCTCGGGATAGGAGTTTGGGGTACGGAGGCAAAGAGCTACGGACTCACGGAGTTCGCATGCAGCACTCAGCCGGTCGTTTCGACAGGAGCGACCAGGGCCCAAGTAGTAGTTGAACATCTCACTGCCGTAACCACCACGCGGGTGGCCTGTATGTGCATCATGCGTACTGCTTACCGCCGCTTCGCCTTAAGGGTCGGGGACTACGGACCACTGCACAGCAAGTTCGCGGTAGCCCCTGGCCCGCTGATTCGACCGGATCAGCTTGCCATTCAATATGCTGCCCCCCCACGCCCATTGCCCAAAGGGTCGGGGACTAAGGACCACTGCATAGCAAGTTCACAGTAGCCCCCGACCCGCTGATTCGACTGGATCAGCCTACCAGCCGCCGCGCGCGCAGCCATCGTCAAGCACATCGCTTTAGCCGCCTGCCGCTGCTGCAGCTCTTGGGTCAGTGATGTGCGTGTCTGCTCGGGTGTGCGGCCGGCCGAGGGGGGGCGATTCGTTATTTATCCTCCCCGCTCGGGGCGAGATAACTGCGCTTCCTCGTCGCCGTCTCTGTCGTGGTCTCTATGTCTCTGTCTCTTAACCCTTGCGCGTTGTACTATATAGCTTGCACCGCCTTCCGTTACATACTCATATACACGCCCCCCCACCCGTCCTCATCGGTTGGGTACTTCCTAATCCGTTCACAAGAGGGCCCCGAGTGAAGGGCAAGCTGGCGCGGGAGGTATGCCCGTGCGAACGGTTCACGTGTTGGCCAAAGCATGCAAGACTGAGGTCTGTTCGCTGCCCCTGTTAAGTAGCTGTGAGTTCTCTATTGCAAGCTATGGGGGGAAGCTCACACGTCGCCCGCTTCCGTTCACAAGAGGGGCCAGAGTGAAGGGACATTCTGTTCGCTGCCCCCAGATACAAGCTTGCTTGCAAGTAGGGCGGGTCTGCACAACCCACGTGCGTTCCGAGCTCTGGACCCGCTGGCACTCAGAATCCGAGGGGGGCAAAACTACTCCCGCCCGATGGCGATCGGTTCTAGTACGGTGGCTGCTTCGGCTGGTCAGGTGGGGCTCATTGGCCACGCCTGGAAAAGCCACCGGTGCGCTAGGCAGCCCACCAGTGTAGTGCGGCTGTTGCCGCCGTGCCTGGTGGGAACACCGGTGAGCTGGGCAGCTCACCGGTGCGAAGCGGCTGCTCTGGGCCGGGCCTGGTGAAACACCGGGCGTGAGATAAGTCCCAATGAGTCCCCCTAAGGGGACCCAAGTAACCTTCATGAGGGAATCAAGGAGCCCCCGCGAGGGGCTCAAGAGGACCCTACAAGGGGTCCAAGGGAACCATGCGGCGGGGCTCCTGGGGGGGAGCAGTGTGGGAGCGCAGGGAGGCCCAAAGAGGGGTCCCAAGAAGCCCCAAAAAGGAGCTACCCCTAGGGCTTACCCCTAGGGCTACCCCAAGGGCCTACCCCTAGGGCTACCCTAGGGCCCCCCAACTTGGCATCCGCCACAAAGGGTATAAAGGCCCATGGGGTAAGCAAAAGTAGCATCTGCAGTAGTCTAGGACATCCGCGGACCCGACCAGCTGAAACGGACAGCCGGGGAACCGGCGGTCTGTTACGCCGCATTCCTCCCCATGCTCGCCGATCTGCCGGAGAGCCTGAGAAGCCCAGTGCTTATGAGGACCCCCTGTCGGTTCCCCCATTGTCCGTTTCAGCTTTGCGCCACCCACAATCCCACGTAGTGGGATAGCGTCGTTTGCCATCATAAGCCCTCATGCGTTGCCTGTTGCCTAATGCATGTTGGGACCTTGTTCCCTCGTGCGTTGCATGCTGATGCCGGGGCGTTCGCCCCTCAAGAGCACCCAATTCAGTGGTGGTGGCATCCAGGCCCCCCGCCCTAATCGAGGGGGCCCTGGCTGTCAGTTCATGCCTGGCGCCGCCCATGGGGTAAGGAAAAGTAGCATCTGCAGTAGTCTAGCATAGTGCAGGAATATACCCCTTTTGAAAAACCTGCATTATATTGCCCCGGACCTTACAGGGGTAGTGGAAAAGTGTGTTTTAAAAACGCGTAATGCTCGCCGATCTGCCGGAGAGCCTGAAAAGCCCAGTGCTTATGAGGACCCCCTGTCGGTTCCCCCATTGTCCGTTTCAGCTTTGCGCCACCCACAATCCCACTTAGTGGGAGAGCGTCGTTGGCCATCATAAGCCCTCATGCGTTGCCTGTTGCCTAATGCATGCTGGGACCTTGTCCCCTCGTGCGTTGCATGCTGATGCCGGGGCGTTCGCCCCTCAAGAGCACCCAATTCAGTGGTGGGGGCATCCAGGCCCCCCGCCCTAATCGAGGGGGCCCTGGCTGTCATTCAGGGGCGCCACTGGGCCATGCACACCCCGACCCCCCCGCTGACAATCGGGAGTCCGAAGCACTTCTTGAGCTGCGCGACCGCATCCCTGTCTATTCGTGCCTGGCCCCCGTGTCTTAGTGGACCTCTGCCCCCGCAAGTTCACTTCCCTTCGGGATGCCACCCCCTAGGAGCCCAGATCCGGGGATCGCTAAGAAGGGCTGCGGGGTGAGGAGGGAGGGTAAGGAGGACCACCAGTCGGACCAGTAGGATTTCTACCTGCAGGAGATTGTGTGTTCGGCCCCTGCGCCTTTGCTGGCTTTGTCAGGTCCGTGGATCCGTACCCTCCCCAGTTTTGGGTCTTGATTTGGGCCCCCCCTGTTCGCTCAGCCCTACCCCGAGGGTCCGGCGAATGGGGAACCCATTCTTGCACCCAACTGTCAGTCCGTGCTAATCCTCCTCCTCCTCCTCCTCCTCCTCCTCCTCCTCCTCCTCCTCCTCCTCCTCCCCCCCTCCTCCTCCTCCTCCTCCTCATCCTCCCCCTCCTCCTCCTCCTCCTCGTCATCGTCGATCGTATGGAACGCTTGTACGGCGTGCCGCTCCGCGGGTGTTGCCCCAGCACGGCTCGGCGCGCCACGCGCGGAGCCCGCCCCAGCTTTCCCGAGCACCAGTCCCGCCGCGACGAACTGGACAAGAGTTCTCGACCGCGTGCTTAATCGGGGAAACGTCAGCCTCCTCCTCCTCCTCCTCCTCCTCCTCCTCCTCCTTCTCCTCCTCCCCCCCCCCCTCCCCCTCCTCCTCCTTCTTTTCCTCCTCCTCCTCCTCCTCCTCCTCCTCCTCCTCCTCCTGCTCCTCCTCCTCCTCCATCCTCCCTCCGAGTAAGCCGAAACTCGGGTTCCCTCCGAGTAAGCTGGAATTCGGGTTTGCCAACGTTTTTTGACGAGCGTGACCCAGATTTTGACGGTCCAGTCTTCGTGGGAAGTCTTCAGCGGGAGCTGGCGTCAAATTTCAGATTGGGCCTCGTCATTTTTACGATGGCCCCGTCAGGCCGACCCGAGTCCCCCGCACCCGAGGCTTGCGTCTCCCCGATTTTTGTCTGTGACCTGCGCACGATTCTTCATCCTCACCTTGGATTTGCGGTGCACCCGCGCCCGCACTGGCAGGGCCGAGCATTGGGAGCCTGACTTTGGCACATCCAGAGGGTCTTCAGGGTCTGAGGGCCGTCCCGCCGTCCCGCGGTCCTCCCTTTCTTTCTCTTCCCGCCTTCCCCTGCTTTGGTGTCCAGCTCGCTTCCGGCGCGCGCCCGCTGCTAGCCGACCGCTTGCTGCACCCAGCTCGCCTCCAATCAAAGAGTTGGTGCCTTTGCCCTTCTTCTGCGGAGCTGCCAACTTAGGCGGTGCAAAAGAGAGCTGCGGACAGGCGTCGTCGTCGTCGCCGCCGACTTCATCGTCGTCGTCATCATCTTCGGCGTGGTCGTCGTCGTCGTCGTGGTCGTGGTCCTAGTCCTGGTCCTGGTCGTGGCATTGGTCGTCGTCGTCGTCGTCGTCGAGCTGCGGGCAGCTGCCGGAGGCAGGCACGGAGGGCCGCCGGAGAGGGGGGCCGCGGCGCGCCGAGGGCATCGTGCAGCTCTTCGACTTCTACGTGCACTGCGCGCCGCGCTCGGCCACGCGGCGGGCCGGGCCGCCGTCGCCACGGCGGCGGCGCGTGCCCGGCGAGCCCCCCTCCGAGCTGCGGTCGGGGGCGCTCGTGGAGTCCTGTGCGCAGTGAGGCCCTCGGGCCCTGGGGGCCTCCTGATGTCTGAGGAGGGCGGCGGCGAGGTCCAGGGCCAGGCCTCGCGTGGCGTGGCACGGGCGTCCGAGGCCCCGGATGCCTCCTCGAAGGGTGCCTTTTGTCCAAGGTTTTCGCCGCGTCCGGGCCCGAACCAGACCTCCGAGTCGGTTTGGGAGGTCGCCGCGGCGATCGCGGCGGCCACAAGTCGGGGCAGGGTGTTCGTCAAGGAGTGGCATGCCCCTTCCTGCCCTCCCCCCCCCCTCCCGCTCTGCGATGTAGGCGTGGCTCGTAAGTAGCGGCAGAGAGTTGCCAATCTATATCCGACATGGACAGTTCTTGCTTGGTTAGGGGTCGATTATCACGCAACCAGGAACTCCTCGCGTCCAGCAGAAATACGACGGAACAGGTGTGTACTTTCCTTCGGCCTCGGGGGGGGCCAATCCAGCCTGGGGACCGCCAGATTCGGGCTGAAAGGCAGGTTTCGGGGAAGGGCTCCAGACTTCCAGAGGTGTCTGGGATCGTTGGTCACCGACTGGGAGCGCAGAGGCGGCAGGAGGCGAAGCAAGATTAAGAGGAGGACCAAACAAAAGAAGAGGAGGAGGAGGAGGACGGCGTCAAGGACGAGAAGGAGGTGAATGGAAAGGACATCTGCTCGCAGACAGCACCTCACAGCTGGCCGCCCCGTCGCGTCTCATCAGTGCGCCGTCGCGCCAGAGTCGCAGGAACAGCAGATGAGCGACGCAAGAAAAACGGGGTCGTCTGCGCCGACATTGGCGCGTAAGCTGCCCGCGTAAGGCCGCGCGTGAGCGCCCTCGTCTCCAATGCAGCGTGCCGCGCTGGCGGCCCGCGTAAGCCGCAGCGTAAGGGCGCTGCGCCGTCTCGCGCAAGGCCCGCCTTTGAACCTCGCTCGGATGATGAGGCCAGCTCCGTCTTCGCAGGTGGCTGTCCGTTTCCTCTGCTCCCCTCGCCGCCCCTCGCGCGTCTACACTCAGTATCGTTGAACCGACCCCGCTACCCGTCCCCGTCCCCTCCGAGACCCCCACCAAACTACCACCCAAGTTGGGGATGCACCCCTCGAAACCCGAAGGGAGCGGCCTATGTCCCCATCCGGGGGGGGTAAATCGGCCCGTGGGGCCCAGGCCACGCCGCTGGGGATGGGGATGGGTTTAACGATACTCATACACACACACACACACACACACACACACACACAAACACATGACGGGGGACCAGGGCTGGGGGCCCCGTGCCCGGTGCCACAGCCGAACACGTGTGCGCGTGCGTGTGTGCTTGTGTGTGTGCGCGCGTGTGGCGAGGGCCAGGCCCGCAGTGTGGGGCTCCGAGGTCGGGCCCGAGGGCTGCCAGAGAAAGAGCCCCCGGGGCGGCCACGAGACTGCTCCGAGCCCCGCCCGAGAGGGCCTCGAGGGCGCCCAAGACAGCTCAAGAGAGCCCCAGCACGGCCCCGAAGAGCTCTCAAGAAGATCCCAGCCCCCGACACGCAGAATGCATAGATGTCCCGAAAGCGCCTGACACATTTTCGCTCGAACGCGTTTTCGATTTCCGGAGCGTCCCAGGAAGCCCAAGAAGCCCCAAGCATCGCTCCAAGAAGGGACCCCACGAGGGTCCCAAGAAAGGCCCACGCCGGTCGGGCCCAGGATGACCCAAGCGCCGGAGACGCCAAAGACGGCTCCAAAACAGACCCAAAAGACCACCAAGGTGGCCCAGTCCCCGTTTTCTTATTCATTGTTTTATCGATCGGCGCGGGCCCTCGCACCCACCCTCCCCCCCCCATGGAGTAGATCTTGGCTATGTTTGGCGCCTGTTTGGAGCAGGTGGAGTCTCTCCCACAGGACGCACTGTTTGCAAGCAGTCGCACTAAGCAGAGGTCCGAAGCCATTCCGCCCAATGCCGAAACGCCGAATAAGAAAACGCTCACGAGCACAAGATGGCCCCAAGACGGCCCAGAAAGCTGTAAGACGACCCCAAGAGACCCCACGACGGCCCCCAGCCTCAGGCGGCCTCGGAAGGCTACCGAGGCAACCCCGTCCACCAGACGTCCACCACGAGGCCCCGAGCCGGCCTCAGAGCTGCACCAGTTGGCTGGGGAGCTCCTCAACCACTGCCCCCGAGAAGCCCAAACCATCCAACTTCCCAGACCGCCTCGAGTCATAAAGAAATCCGGACGAAAGATTTTTCGCTATTTTCGGCCTCTGGGGGCCATCACTGGGCCTCGGGACCGTCAAAAAACGATTCAGGATGAAAAACCGGTCCTGGGAAATGGGTCGAGAACTCTGAGGGTCGACGTTTTGAAAAAAAAAAATATCACGTCGGGGGTCTGGGTTGAGGGATCTCAGACAGCCCCACGGCAGACCAAGAAGGCCCATGACGCTACCAGAGGGCCCCACTCCCAAGAACCGCCAGAAGGGGCCCTCCTGAACCCACAGATGGTTCTGAAGAGCCACCAGAAGACCCCAAGACGCCCCTGAAGTAGCAAGACAGGTTGCAAGCCCGGCCATTTCATGTTTAACGCTCGCCCACCCAACCTTGTCCTGGAGAGTTCGGAGGTCTCTTTATCACGAGTTTCTGCACCCGAGAATAGACCACAGGGGTCAGCGGCACTTCGGGGCCTCCGATACGACCCTGGAGTGCCCGCCTGAATTCACAAATCTTTTCTGGGGCCTGCGGTGGTGCTTCCGAACGGGCCACGAAATGTGTGAGGGATGCGCCGACATGGACATGCGGTGGGCAGGGTGGGCGCATGTGGACTTTGCCTCTGGGGCCTTCGGTAAGCCTCCCCACGGGGGCCCGAACCGCGTGAGGGGCGTGATGGAATGGACACGCGGCGTGCGGGGTCCTTCGGTGGAGCCCTTTCTATGGGGCCACGAACCGCGTGAGGTGTGTGCCGAAATTGACATGCAGCGGGCGGGGTGGGCGCGTGTGGACTTTGCCTCTGGGACCTTCGGTGGAGCTCCGTATGGGGCCACGACCCGTGTGAGGGGTGTGCCGACATGAACATGCGGATGGCGGAGTGGACGCATGCGGACTTTGCCTCTGGGGCCTTCGGTGGAGCTCCCTACGGGCCACGAACCGTGCAAAGGGTGTGCCGTGATGGACATGCGGTTGACGGAGTGGGCGCACGTGGACCCTGCCAGTTGGGCCTTCGGTGGAGTTCCTTTTGGGGCCACGAATTGTGTGAGGGGTGCGTCGAAATTGGCATTCGGTGGGAGGGGTGGGCGCATGTGGACTTTGCCTCTGGGGGCGGGCCTTCGGTGGAACTCCTTATGGGGTCACGAACCGTGTGATGGGTGCGCCGACATCAGAGGTGACGGGAGGAGGGAGGAGGAGGACGAGGAGAAGGACGAGGAGGAGGAGGAGAGGAGGAACGCGGGGCGCTGTCTCTTCAAAGCGAGGACCCAACACCATAGGATGATTGGGGAGCAATGGCATGGTGACGACTGCTCGTGCTTTGTTTGACTGGATTGGAGCATGTGTTCAGCTATATTTATATATGTATACAAACATACAAACGAACAAACAAACCAACAAACAAACAAACAAACATACACACATGCATGCATATATACATACACACATACATACATACAAGACTGCAGTGGCGCTTCGCGCCATGCGCCTTGTTCCGGACGCTTCCCAGTCAAAACAAGTCACCGCTTGCTTCAGCAGGGGGGACCTCGAGACTTGGACGGGCGATCGGTTCATTTTTATGAGATCCGTGGTTTTTGTTGACACAGCACTCTCCCGATGCGCTTGCACGCATGTGCGCAGGGGAGGGAATGCTGTTTTCTTCACGCGCGAATGTGCTGACAAACGACGAATCATCAAACTGTTGCGATGGCACCTGTCCATGAACGGGGAACGGGTAGGGAGCAGGGATGCGGGGGGGGACTGAAGAGGCGGAAGGGGGGAGGAGTGGGGGAGAAACGGGGAGAAGGTTCAGAGGAAGGAACGGGCGAATGAGGATGGCCATCGAATGCCACGAACGTGGAGGTCGACGAAGAGTCACAGGGGGGAACGGAAAGAGAGAGAGAGAGAGAGACAGAGAGAGAACGAGCGCACAGATAACGCAGTCTGGGCGTTTGGGGGGCTCTTCGGGGCCGTTCTGGGGCCCTCCTGGGCCGTCCTGGGGCCTTTTTGTGCCGTCTTTGGGAGCTGGGGCCCCCCAGAAGTCTTCTGAAACCATGTATGGCCGTTTTCGGGACCTCCAGTGGCCTTTTTGGGGGTTTCCCATGGCTTTCGTGTGTCTCTCTTGGGAGCCTTCTGGGGACATTTTGGGCTTCTTGTTGGCAGTCTCGGGGCTCTCTGGGGCAGTCTTGGGGCCCTCTCGGGCCGTCTTCAAACCCTCTGGGGGGCCTCTTGGGCCGTCTTGGAGCGACATCGGGGACCCATCGGGCCATCTTGGACGCTGCGAAGACCCCCCAAAAAATTGAGATGCTAAAGATTTATATTTTTCCCCAGGAAATGGAACGAAGTTTGCTTCTTCGGGGCTGTCTTAACGGCCCCTTGGGGCGTCTTGGGGGCCTCGTGGGCCGTCTTCGGACCATCGAGGTTCCTCTTGGAGCGCTCTTGTGCTGTTTTGGGTCTTTCTTGCGCCTCTCCGATGACCCCTCTGATCGCTTTGAATCTGCTCGCAAGGCCCGGCAAGGCGCCCTGGGAGGCCTGGAAGGGCCAGCGGACCTTTTCCAAGGGCGTCACGGGGGCCGTTGAGACGTCCGAAAGGGTGTCCGGGGCATCCTTGGAGGGGGGGGTCCGGGTAATAAGAATATATGAAAAGGAATATATTCCAGAATCCGCCTGTAGGATCACCTGCCCGACCAGAGAACTACTCCTCAGTCCTTCGCGTTCCTTTTTCGCACTCTGGCGGCGGCGCAGCGCGCGC